TTTCGGGTTTCGGAGTTTCGATTTTTTTTAAAAATTCCGAAACTAGTTTCGGATTATAGCTCTCCCGAAACTAGTTTTGGGTAGGTTTCGTTTTGACGCCATGTTTGATTTGGACCACCTCTAATTCTTCAATCAGACAATAGGCAAGAGTTTGTTTCTTCAATAATTATTGAATTAGTTCGTTTGTGGCCTACAATTCAGATTATTCATGGAAGGCCACGTCATTCTGCTAGCCAAGGTTTGGTTGAACGAGCAAATGGAGTTCTTGAAACTAAATTAGGAAAGTGGATGGAAGATAACAAATGGCAGAATTGGTCATTTGGGTTAAGGTTTATAGTTTATGCAATGAATAATTCGATTTGCAGAGCACATAATAAAAGACCTTATAAACTTGTATTTGGCAGAATTCCACATGGAGATTCTGCAATTATAGATCAGTTATTCAAAAATAATATTTCTTGTGAAGATGAAATTCCCGATGAATTTAATCAAGAAAATTTTCAAGAATCAATTTATGACTTAGATGACTTGATTTATGATTCTTTACCTGTGGTCGAGTCTTCAGTAGATTTGATTCAAGATAGTATCAATTCAAATTTAAATGATAATACTGATACTAATTTGAATTAAAATGATACTAATACTATACCAGCTATACTCATAGTAGAATCTTCAAGTCAAAATTCAAGTTTGGATCCAAATTTGGATAATTTAATTGATAATCATAATAATATGCCTGTAATTGAATCAAGTTTAACACAAGATCCAAGTTTGATGGTAATTTTATTATACTTATTAGTTATGTAATTGTACATATAAATAAATATAATAATAATATAATAATAAATTAATATTTAGATCGATTCTTCATCCCAACACTCTACATCTCAACCATTACAAGATTTAACAAACCAACCATTAACAGGACATCAGGAATTACGAAGATCTGCACAGCAAAATTTAGAAGTTTACACAGCAAAAATGGTCTCTGCAATGGTTGCAAAATCAAAGCGTAAACTAGAATATGAAGTCGGGGAATATGTAAAAATTCTTATACCAAAAATTGATCGGTTTGGCACAGATCGACCTGTACTTCCATGCAAAATTTTAGATAAGATAAATTATAATGAAACATTCAAATATCGTCTCAGATGCAAAAGTGGTGTTTTGAATAATTTATACTGCATAGGTGAATTGGAACCATTAGGTGTGAAGGAATACCCGGAGTTGGAAAATATTTCAACAGATTATATATATGTTGGGAAGCTGCACGGAATCAAAATAATGGTGATGTTTTTACAGGAAGCATTTGCAAATGTAAAGGTAATTGCAACACTAATAAATGCCGTTGCAAAAAGTCTGGAGTTGGATGTGGAAGCAAATGTCATAGTGGAAAAACATGCAACAATAGAATTCTTGTCTAGATTAAAGCATATGTAATAATTTAGTCGTGCATTGCACTATGTACAGTATTTGTATTTTGCAATTATTTGAATTATATTGCTTTTAAATTTATTTTTCGTCATATGATAAATTTTATATGTATTGTCTAATTTTAGTTTGACGCATAATTGATAAATCGATTTGACGCATCTCAAAATCAAATTTCGGTCTGATGCATCTCAGTTTAAAATTCACGCTTATTCAAATTTCACGCACAACATATATATCTATTCGACTGATTTAAATGTTTACAATATATTGACATTTATCTGTATTGAGTGTCAAAATTTTAAAAAAGATAATATTTGCAATAATTATGCAACCTTAAAATTATAATAATAAAGATCTTAGATTTTAAATGTACAAATATAAAAATAATATAGCTTAATAAGCTGTGTTTTATGCGAGACACAGGTATCTGTTAATATAATCGTAAAATATGTAGTTAAACTGTCTTAAAAACTTTTTTGCATTAAGTGATCATTTGATCATAAAACTTGAAAATAACGGTCTGATATCAGAATTCTATGGCGTCTTGCTATGCAGTAAAGGGTTTCATTAAGGATGCGCCTCAATTAATAAGAATTCAGATAACTTGCGTTTTTAAGATATAAATTAAAAGCATAATTGAATTCGTTCTCAGCTGTATTAGGCAAATATTTGTAGAGGAAATTCATTATGTTTGAGTTTTTTAATTTACCAGGATTTAATGTTTCGATTAAACATCTACGCAAGAAACAATCTTTTGATTCTTGTTTAATCTCTGCAAATGAGTCTATTAAAATCCTTCCAATATTATCTAACCGACTTTCAAAAAGGTGAAATATATCGATAATGATACCATAATTTAATTGAAAACCTAAATCGATTAATTCAGTAAGTCGTGCGATAACAGCTTTGGTATCAGGTTTAGACCATTCAGGAGGTTGCGCAGGTTGAAATAGAATTAAAAGCACTCCTTGTATTACAAGATCATTAACGTCCTCACATATTTCAAAGTAACCGATTTCTTTCCATAAAAGTACTAAGTCTTTACAGATCAAGATTGATCTTGCAATTATGTTAAGTTGACGGTTATTTTCATGTCCATCTTTTGGCGGATATTCTTCTGGCGGATATTCTTCTGGCAAATTAGCTTGTATATTATCGAATTTTCTTGGTGGAAATGGTACAAATTTCTTGCATAATATTAGATCCTTGATCTCATCATAATTTTTTTCCAAAACAGTTGGTGTATAATTAATAGTATGAGGACCTCCAGAAAGAAAATGAAAAAGTTCCATATCATTGCCTTTAAATAAAAATCAGCATTGAATAAATTAGAAGCTTCCGTTAATAAACACATATAAACGGCAATAGGCAAATTACTCGCCCATGGAGTAATTTTTTGTTGCAAGGTTCTAACCCTATCTATATCTGTTTGTCCTACACTATGAGCAATCTTTAATTCAATAAGTTTTTGATCATAATTTCCATAATGAATAAGAAGACGCTGGGCAAAATATCTTGAAAGAATTCCACCTTTAGCAATAATAGCTCGATCAACTTCGACAAAGATGAATGTTGGACCCAATTTAATAGCATAAAAGAGACAATGGGCTTTTCCAAACTGAAAAATAATCCATTCTGCCTTTGCTTGAGAATCCTTACATATAAAAGACCATCTCTTACAGCTTACAATTAAATTCATAGGATTTTTTAAAAATATATATCATAACTTCATTTGGTAGTTCATATTGGAAATAATTTTTCTTTTGGAGTTTCACGGTCATCTAGTAATAAAGGATCATGTTAGCTATGGCCTCATTTAAACTATAGTAGGGATGCCAGGACACAGGCAGAACAATAAATCTTTTCGAAAAGCATTCTTTGATGTGTTATGCAGCCTTTCTAAATATCTTCTATATATTTTCCAACCTTTTAAATTACCATGAAAGAGATATGAAAATATTTGGAAAGTTGCATATTACACTAAAGTTTTTGAAATAATACTTGTAAAAAAGGTTATTGTTCTATCTATGAGGACTTCGCATGAAAAATGTCTATCACGTGATGATCGACAAATTTAAAGTGTTTATAACCTCGATATTTATACTTGTTGTCGCGGATCATAATTAAAATAAAAGAGGGTTTCTATTTGACACTAAAACCACATATACTTGTTTATACTCTAAACTAACCTCT